CAAGAAAGATGAAGTTTATAACGAGGACCTAGTTTTTGAGGGACCTTGTGGGAACAGGGGTCTGTTAGAATGGACTGTGCTCAGTTCTTTCTAGTAGTTGGAGCCAATGCTTTTTTTCCTTATTAGCCCATGACAACAAAACAAAGGGATGCCAATGTATAGGGAACTAGTTATTGTCATGGTGTTGGTAGATGGTGGAAATGACTAGTGGTTTCCTCAACATGGAAGGAAAACAAGGTTGAAATATCTAGACCACTTTTCTTCAACAATTAAAATTAACTTGAAACTCACCCTTCACTACAAGTGAACCAATTGCTAAGGTGATGATGGCTCATACTTAAGCAGAAAAGGGAGAAGCTGGACAATTTAACACCAGAAGTTGCACAGCATACCTACTGAACACATTATAGGTGTTCTTCAACATAGAATTTGTATGGTAAAGTTGAGGGAGCCCTGGGTCTCCGGTGAGATATGGTTATGGCAGGAGCGGGTTTTGCTTCCACTGTGCTCCGCAGTCCATACCTAAGCACCTATTTTCTAGAAAGACACTTGCCATTACCACCTGCACTTCAAAAACTTCCCAGAGGAAGAAAAGCTAGTTCTCAGTAGACCTCAAAGCCTTAGATGTGTGTGGTGAATGATGTCACAGACACAAAGGATATCTGTGCTAGGTCCTTCTCCCATACCTGCTCCCTGCCAGCAGCAGATAAGAACTTATGCCAGGACTCAGTGCTGCTGATCCCGTGCTGCCTAACAATCCGGGGGAGGGAAGGGTTGCTTGCCCGACAGGATGAGGCAAAGCCGTGCTGCAGAAGCCTGCACTGAACAGATACTCAGGTTCTTAAACAACAGATCACAATTAACCAAGGGCCAGCTTTTGAAGAACAGATCTGGTAAGTTCTACCAATACATATTTGCCCTTTAGGGACTGACATTTCTGATTAGATACAAATGGGACAAGGTTATGCGTGTGCTTTAGGAACCATTAAATCTGCCTACTTTGGAAAGACACATGCGACTTATGAAGTCTGTTAGGGAAGTGAAGAGGTGTTCCAATTCTCTTTATAATAAGCAGCATTCTCAGAGGGACTTAGGCAACTTCAGGGGAAGCAAAACTCAGAATGAAGAATACTGTAGTACAAAATTATGGCCAAAAATACTGTATTTTTAACCAGTAGGATCATTGGGGCATTATTATACAACATTAGGTGTTTTTTTTTTTTTTTTTGCAAAACTAGTTCCCATCCCCAAACAATAGACAATACATGCATTTGAATGACATTTTAAGAACAGTAAATATGATTTTTTTTAAATACTGCAAGTTAAAAATGTTTTTGACAAAACTCCCTAAGTACACAGATCTAGTCAGGGCTTCCAACACGAGGGTGGATGCAGATTCCAGCCAGAGGCTGCGATTAGAGTCCTTTGAGGAAATCCGCCAGAAATGTGTTTCAATGAAAGTGACCCAGACAAACTTACACAGTGTTTTTCCACTTTCTTTCCTAACCCTAGAAATAGCTCACTGAAAAATCTTCCTCCCTGTATTTTCTTCCCATCAAAGCTTCTATGAAAGCCAGAATCCCTTTAACTGAGTAAGATCCAATTTTGTAAAAGAGCTGTCTTTGTAACGTGTAAATGTTATTAATCATTGGGTTCAAATTTCATGGAGATGGAGGCTCCACGGCAGATATTAAAGGGAGGGAGGACATAATATCTGAGCACCTACTGTGCATCAGGTGTGTATGCATACTCCGAACAGATGATTCCAGAAGCAGAACACTATGGAAGGGTGGTGGCGGCGGGGAATTGCAGGAGAAAGCACTATTATAGGAAAGACAGAGTGTAGAGGCTCAGCAAACTGTCTGTGCAATGGCAGGCGTCTGGCTTCCCAAACCTCTGCCGCATCACACGCAAGCAAGCCATCTATTTCTCCTAATTGTCTAGAACCCAAATGGAATCCCAAAGATATAAGTACCAGGACATCTAGTTATGCTGCATATGCTGGAAGTGTGCAAAGACAGATAAACACACATTATTAGCTTCAATTTTTGTATGTGTTTCTAACCAAAGATTTCTCTTTGGAATAAAATATTAATGTACGCCCAAGCACACCTTATTTGTATCAATTGAGATGCTGTTAATTACCACTTGAGTGGCTTGAAACCCTTATTTAATTTTAAGAAGCGCAGCAATATACATTACAATATTTGGGTACACTTTATTTTTATATGGGTTAACATTCTGCTATATTTCACTTCATTCGTTCTGAAAAACTAAAAACAAAGGGGCATCGGGGTTCATCTGAAGGGATCTGAGGAATTTCCAACCAAGATCTGAGTCTTGCAGTATCTTATTATGCAGCCCTTTCTTCCCGTTATTATTTTTATTTTTTGCAAATAATCAAGTCATTTTGACCCAAATCCAGCATAAACAGCTTTTCACCAAATCCCACTTAAGACAACTAAAATTTACAATCATGTGGCAGTATAAATGTTTAAATTACAATTCGTACAACTTGACAATCAATATAAGTCTGAAGTACAAAAAGTAAATTGCCCTTTGGCTGAATTACCTTTTAAAACTATTAGGCCTGCTAATGTAATCTAAATTAAACAAAACAAAAACAAAACCCTCAAGCCCCCACGTTCCAGGTGTTTTTAAATATCGCCTGTGGATGCCTCCTGCCAGTAAACAACATATTTAAGTTCCTAAGAAGAATTTCCCAGCTACTCAGGACATTCAACAGAGCTCTTCCTAAGGAAACGGTAAGGAAAATCCAACAGTCTATGGGACTGACTTTTGCATGGGCGTGTTTTTTTCCCTTTGTTTCAGATATGAGGCACAGACTTCTTAATTAAGCTCTGTAAGGCATAATATAAACCTCCAATTTACAAATAGGAATTCTCTGTGGGTGGGAGCTGCCGCATCACACACAAAGGGGAGACATCATCTGTAAACGGCACACTGTGATGTGCTGAGTGACTCATGAGATGGCTGCTTGCCTTGGTATGCTGAGGAAAGGTTTCTGTGTTCTGTGTTTGCTTCTGAATAAGACATGCCCAAGTCACCATCAAACTCACCACAAGCCTTCGTTATCTAGAGCATCAACAACAGGAGTCGGTGCATAGCTTTAGCGCGCTTGCAATCACAACAGAACAGAGAGCAGGAGTAAACTTTGTTTTTGTACAACTGAGAAGCCCTTCCCACCCCTCACCCCTTCAATAAAACCCCAAACAAGAAACAACAACAAAAACTGTTTTTAGCTTCATTGACTAGTGTGGATACAATTAGGCAACGAGGCATCACTGCAGCTAGGGTGATCAATGTTTTCCTTTCTCAAAAGAAGGGATCCTGTCATGCGCCCCAGGATGAGCAGTGAAGCCACAAACTTCAATTCTGCATAGCAAGTTCCATCCCCAATTCACAAAGACAACGTGGCGGCGACCTTTCCTGCTTTGCTCTGCAGCTCTGAGCTTGAGATCAGGTGGACTCAACTACATCTACTACGGCTCTGTTAAATGGAATAGCATGGTTCCCTAGGACTGTTAACACTTGCGATCCTGTGATGAGGTTCCCTCTACACCGTAGGCCATCAAATGTTACTTTTTTCTTCTTTTTTTTTTTTGTCTTTTCTTTTTTTTCCTTTTTTTTGTTTTGTTTTTTGTTTTTTTGCTGCACCAAATTTAAGGTTGCCCTTTCAGGCAAGCAGTGGTCTCTAGCTGATAAAACATCTCCTTAGTGGATAACAATAGCTTCTAAAACTGCCTTTCTAATAAAGGCCACCAGAGAGGTAATGCTAAACTGTGCATTTGCCAAATAAGAATATGAATCGTATAAAAGCTCATATTCCAACCCCAGGTCAAATGGCAAAAGGTCTACAAAGTTGGTCTCCGTGTTTGTATAAAAGCTCCGACGGATGTTGTGTATTTGCTATGAAATTACCTTTGGGTCTTAGGTCAGCACACCTCTACTCGGGAATGTGCAAATGATTTTAGACAGCACGATGCTAGTACCGCTCTGTACGATAGTAAGGGTTGTTTTTTTTTTTTTTCTTCTTTTCTAAATGGAAAAAAATATCCCTAGTCAGAAATAAACTGACAAATTTACATTCTCCTCCCTTAAAAAAGTAAATAAAATAACATTATTCAAAATGTGAATTAGCCACAAGACATACAATACAATTACATAGATACATATCAATACAGCACATTCAATCTGCCAAAAAAATTAATGATTACCAGTATGGATGCTGCAATATCAAGAGAGATGTATGTACAACAATCAGAACATTCATAATTGCACTATTCCTACAGGCAGTCTGTTAAATTACAGGTGCTTTCTAGAGCAAGGGATAAAAAAGTAAGCTGTGTTGTTTGGGGCCAGGAGAGTAAAACATGAGAACACTTCATTACGAGTCAGCAATTTCAGCGCTCATACAGGAAGCTGTTCACTCTCTCTCCTCTTTGTTATTCAAGAAAAGCGATTGAAACGGAAGTTTAGACTAGTGCCAAGCACTAATGAGACCAGCATTGTGGTCTAACTTCCTGGCAGCCTCAGAGCAATCACAATCTACTTAAGTCACACAGCAACGTGGGCTGCTTGACAGGCTCATTCACACACGTTCAGCACTGTTTGCATCTGCTGACAAATTGCACATGGAGAATTGCAAACATCTCTCCTAGTATGATCATTACATAAATACATGCTTGACAGAACACTGACTGGTGACTTTTGAACAAATCTTCCTTGCGTTCAAGCGACCAGTTCAAGAAGATCCTGAAATGGTAAAACAAGCTCACCCCCCCCCGCCCCCCCAAATCAAAGGTTAGGGGATAATGCTGTCAACCAGTGTTCCTGGCAGACTCATTCGAACTGAAAGAACATAAAGAGCTAACAATACTGGTGCCAGTAAGGAGATATGAACAGATCTCATGACAAACCACAAAGAGTAGTTCCTGCACTGCTCATCTGGGCACTGGCACCGACCGTTAGGGCACAGAAAAGAACGGACCATGAGAAGCAGTTCAGAGTTAGCAACTGTTTGGCAATGTGTGTTTCCGGTTCATAGCACGCTGTCCTCTCACTGTGTGGTCTTAATGCTTACATTTTGATACCTTTGAAATTTTTAATTTATTTTGTCTTATAAAAATCTGGCTTTGGCAACATATATACATAGCAAAAATTATTTTAAAATTATGGCCCAAACACAAAGTGGGGCAAGAGGAAAAGAAAGCTAAAAATAAACAAAATGAGGAGCTACAGGAGGGCTCTGGCAGCAGCTGCTGGGGAATGTAGTGTCTGTTGGCATATCATTTGGCATCTGTGGTTTACAGAGAGGGTGAAAAACCTAAAGAGAAACAAAAGGGAGCAAGGAAGAGAGAGGAAGGACATGGCACATGGATTGTAGAAGCATGGACTCCTTCCCAGCCTGTACCCACACCCTGACTTCCATACATTTCTCTGAACAATCCAGCTACAGCTGAAGGTCTGCACCTAAAATACATGACTCGTAACCACCGATGGGCACCACTGTCCTAGTCCAGGTGAGACAAGACAATATATATATATATATATATTTATTATACATACATATATATGTATGTATTGAAAAAGGAATACTAGATGTGATGTGCATCCAGAGAGATACATTTAAAACCATAGTAGTAATTAATACATACACGCCTTCAGCAGAACCACTATTAAATGAAGCTGATGTAAGATGACTTCAATCGAATGACACTGTCCTGACTGCATCACTCGAGAAAGAAACTTGACCAAGAATGGAACTAGGGTAAAGGCCATTGTAATATGAGAGAAAGTAAAATCAGCAGGGAGGATGAAACAGGAAGAAGTTCGGAACATCGGCTTTGTTTTTGGTCAATAGAAAAGAGGAGGAGGGAGAAGGAAAGGAAAGGAAAGGAAAGGAATGGAGAGAAAGAGAGAGAGAGAGAGAGAGAGAGAGAGAGAGAGAGAGAGAGAGAGAGAGAGAGAGAGAGAGAGAGAGAGAGAGAGAGAGAGAGAACACATGTGACAGGAGTGCTTTTATACTGTGAGTGAATGAGTGAAAATTTCAAATACACCGGTCTCAAGGTCTGCCTAAAAACAAGAGAGGAAATGTGCTGGGACTGTACTTCAGCATTCTGTTTCCTCCAAATAGTTTAAATAAAATCATAATATTTACTACAGCTCTGTGGACACGCTCACAGAGTCCAGGACGGCAATAAATTAGTATTATGCAAATTGTTTCCCACAGAATACAGTCCTTCTTGGTTATCTTCAACAGCCCACAGGGAAGGGAAGAATGGTTTCTGGGAGGCACGGTTAGACCAGATTGTACTCCTTCAGGTTCAGCTGCAGGATGGTGTCCTTGACGGCAGCGAAGACGAAGCGGATGTTCTCGGTATCTGTGGCGCATGTGAAGTGGGAGTAGATAATCTTGTCACTGTCAGGGTTCAGGTCCACGAACATCTTCAGGATGAATTCTCGAGCGGCCTGGGCATCTCTCTGGGGTCCTGTTTGCCAAGAGAGGAGAAGCCAAGTTTGTTACGTGGCCCACTCCACAACTGTTCATCTGTTTAATCAGCACACATTGTGTATGCCCTATGAAGACCACTCTGTATTCCAGATCTCTATTAAGTTTACTGTGTGATGATATGCATTGGTTTGTACTTTCTTATGCTTACAAGGTGTTTCTTATGCCTCATCCATTGCCCATGATAGTTTCGTTTAGAAAAATTAGAAACCTGTGATAGTTAGTTTTAAATGTCAAGTTGCCACAGTCTAGAATCACCCGAGAAGGGGTCTCAGTTGAGGGATTATCTAAGATCAGGTCAGTCTGTGGGGATGTCAGTGGAGGATTGTTAATTGATGTATGGAGACCCAGTCCATTGTTGGGGGCACCATTCCCCAGGCATGGGGTCCTGAACTATACAACAAGAGAAAACAATGCGGCAAGCAAGGATGCATTATTCTCTGTACTCTTGCCTATGGATGCAGCATGACTACCTGTTGAGCTCCTGCTTTGATTTCCTCAAAGATGGACTGTAACATGGGACTTGTAAGCCACACAACCCTTTTTCTCTCCAAGTTGCTTTTTGTTAGAGTATTTTATTACAGCAACAGAAATGAAACCAAAACATTGTTTGTCCTTGCTTGCTTCCTATTGCGGGGATAAACACCAAGACCATAGCAATCTGGGGAAGAAAGAGTATATTTCAGATTATAGTCTATGAATAAAGGCCTGGGTAGGAATTCAAGGCAGGATTCTAGAGGCAGGAGCTGATGCAGAGGCCATGGAGGAGTGCTGCTTACTGGCTTATTCCTCATGGCTTGCTCAGCCTGCTTTTCTATACAACTCAGGACCACCTGCCTGGGGATGGCATCATCCAAGTGTGCTGGGCCCTATATCAATCATTAATCAAGAAAATGTCCTCTGAACTCACTTACAGGCCAATCTGATGGAGGCATTTTTCTCCAGTAAGGGTCCTTTTTTCAAGATGCCCCTCCTTTTTTTCCCCAAAAAGTAAGGGTCCTTTTTTAAGCTGACAAAAAATAACCAGCACACTCGTATAATAATTTTGTAGTTGATTCTTAGATACAACCCAAACACAGACACAGTCAAAGAAAAAAATAAACTGGACCTTGTCCAAATTAAAAAAAAAAAACTTTGTTATCAAAGTCCATTATCAAATGAAAAATATATGCAATTCATATACCTGATAAGGATTTAGCACTTAGAATATATAAAGATCTCATATATATCAACAAAAAGTAAACAACCTAATTAAAACTGGACAAAATACTTGAACATTCTTGCAAAATAAGTTAACAAATAATCAATGAGCACACAGGATGCTTAACTCTGACACTCATTTAGGGAATGCTAAGTGAAATCATGAAGTAGTCTTCCCATCTACTAGCCTGGGTATCATTTTAAAAGGGATAAAATAACCTTTGGCAACAGGTGAAGTCTGCAACTCTGCTACTGGTAGGCAGGCAAAATGGTAATGGCCACTATGGAAAACAGTTCAGTGATTCCCATATAACCTAGTAATTCGTGTAGTAGGCGGACATGCTCTAAATGAATTAAAAGGAGGGCATTTCGTAGGTGAATGTACAGTACCACCAGTCACAATAGCAAACAGAAGTAACTCGACGGATAAGCCAAAGGTGGTTAATGAAGTTCTGATAGATGGTATAACATGTATAAATTTTTAAAACACATTCTGAAATCAACATGCTGGACATAGACAAATACTGTGTGACTTGACTTATACATAGGCTATAGAGACAGAAAAGCAAGGGGACAGCATGCATCGGGGAACACAATGGGGTGTTACTGCTTAGCTGGAGTGGTGGACGCATTGACAGTAGCTATAGTTTCCTAAATGTAATTTATGTCATGACTTACATATTCAAATTATAATTGAAATGTTCTGTATGGTATTTTTTTTAATCACATTTAAAAACTAACAATGTGACATGCTCCAGACCATTCATTTCTAACTGTGTGCAGGATCAATCACATCATATATCAATCAAGCAGTTTAACACTTAAACAGATTCTGGCAAGTGTGAGTTTAAACCTTCTAAATCACTAACATCCAAACAACATGAGGTGCTGAGCAGGTATACTGTGCACTGTACCACTGTGGACCTGTTTCTCTCCACTGTTGCAAGTCAGTTCTAGACCAGGAGAAGGAAGTGTCACTTTTTTTCTCCTAGGCAAGACTTCCCAGGATCACAATATGCGTTTTCTACGTAAGCAAACACTGCTGAGGCCTAACCAACTCTAAGGACCTTCATCCCGAGTCTCAGGCAGACAACTCGAGAACTTTCAGAATAACCCTATTACAGATTTGGGCTCATAGCCACATCCCACACTGCCAGGAGCTGCAGCAAAGAGCTAGGAAGTAGAGTCTTCTCATTTGTACAAGTAGTAACAAGAGTGCGCTGAGGTTTGGGTGACTAAGGCTAGCAACATGAACAATGAAAGTGTGCTAGTATCTGGGTGTTACATATGTGAACTAGTGTTCTGTCCTTAGCAATGTACTGCCAACTCACTGCGTCCACAGCAGCTCTGAACACTTAAAACAAAGACTAAGAGGCTGGCAGGTGTGAGAAGGCTGCCATTTCTCCAACTATTATTCTTATTCGGTCAGGGAAGGAAAAGACTCCAACTTTTGTGGGTGTGTTCATTCTATAGAACGAAAGAAATAGATTCGAGGTCACTGAAGTGCACTTGCAGTGTGCTATGTTTTAAGCATAAATTATGTTATTGGAGCACACAGCACTACAAAGAAATGGGTATAGCCATCACAGCAGGTGCAGAATTTCAAAGTCTCTAGGAACAATTCTGCAGAGTTCAAGTCAATGTGGAAACAGTCATTTCAATTCCTGATGAGAAACACAGAGATGGCATTCATCTCATTAAGACCTCACAAGGAAGACATGTGCAGCTGTGATAATATCTAAATAAGTGTATTACAAACCATCACTCTAGTGTGCTCAAAAGTTTTTCCAGTCTTAGCTCATCTTCCAAGGGCTTTGGATCTCATGAAACAACTTTGTCTTCTTAAGAACAACAAAACCATTGCCTTTTTAACTTAGCTGTGGCCATACTTCCTTTAGACTTTATGTGTCCATTACTGAAGACAACAGTTAAAATCATCTTCAAATTCCAAAACATTTACAGTAAGCTCTTTTTGTCAGGAAATTGCTTGTAGTGATGAGGATTCAGGAAGTGGCAGTCCTGCAAAAACCCACTGCAGAAAACCTGGAACTGCAGTGCAGCCAGCCAGCACACGGCTGAGGGTGAGCAGCTGGGCTCAGGCAGCGTCTGCTCTGAGGCTGCGCACTGCTATCTGTCTGTATCCAAGCAGGAACACAGGGGGCCCACAGAGCCACTGCTGTAAATGGTGTAGCCATTCTCTCTCCACTCTCCACTGACACACCAACTCTGAAGAGAAATTAAGCGTGCCTTCTGGGTGTACAAACAAGCATTGGCGTTTCTATCTGAGGCAGGTGGTTCTTGCTTCTGTTCTCAGATCATGTGCTTACAGGAGTGGTCTACAGGAGTGCCACTGAGGGGGAGCAGGTACACCATATATAGTCGTTTCCTTCCACAGCTTCCTTAAGAACACTGAGGCAATCTCAGGCACTTACCATTTGCTTCTGAGTTAGTGAGAAAAATAGAAGGAACAAAGAGAAAATGCTGTTTAGGCTAAGACAGAATTTGTTCTTTCAAAATAGCCAGGCAAACAGGAAAATGTACTTGGAGAGATATGAACTTGCTGACAAAAAATAGTCCCTGTTTCTAAGCGGCTGGCTGTGCAGCCAATCATACACATGCATGTGCGATGCCAACTTCAGCTGTTGAGCATGCCACATTTCCCTTCCTCAGGCCAGCACTGCACCTAATGCATACAGAGCAAAAGGGCACCTAGACCTTCAGAGAAAGCTATGCAGCCAAAGGGATCTCTAATCTCCAAGGGGTCACCTCTCTTAGAGAGCTTTTGGAGGGACAAAACTACTATAGTGTAGATGCCTTAGATTTCCTTTGTTGACGATGTCATCTTGGGGCCCCGCTTGGGACTGCTGGGAGGCTGGAGGTGGATACAATTAGTCAACAAATTTTTCTCAGAGGGTTGATGTCCTGTCATTGAGAACAATACAGTATAACTGGGAGATCTACTTTTTAATGATGAAAACAGTGCAAAGTCAAATGCAAGTGAGTGCTGCCGACCCTAAGTGCTACAGCAAGTGTGCTTAAATAATCACTAAGGATGGTGGGACTTCCCTTTCTTGGCCATGGCCATCAGTTAGTCAAATACCTTACTTGGACATCAATCTTAGGACTTCTGCTAGTGAAGTTCTCCCTAAGTAAATGCTGCCTGGACATTCAAGGACCACACTAATGTCACACAATTGTTTTTTGTTTTTTTTTTTATTAGCCTATAAAGCAGATCTCATAGCTATGGCTTTAAGGACCAGGAAAATCAAGTGACTCTAAATAGAATCCTAGAAATAGGAAGGGCCTACACTAGGATTTGAACTTCAGTATATGTAGTAGTTTGAATATGAATGTCCTTCATAGACTGGGATATTTCAACACTTGGTCTTAGGAGGTGTGGCTCGCTGTAGGAAGTTAGTGGGGGCGGGTTCTGGGCATTAAGTCTTGCTTCACATCTGAATCTTTCTGCTTGGGCATGTGTTTTAGAGATGTGCTCTTAGCTTCCCCACTCAGGTCATCATGCCTGAAGCTTGCTGCCATGCTTCCCCATCAGGATGGACTGACTCTACCTTCTCTAAGTTTCTTGATCATGGTTAATAACAGTATAATAATACAGTATAGCAACTTCAGAAGTGAGCTCCTTACCAGAGAAAGGCAGGTGTGAGTAGCAAAATAAAAGAGAAGGAAACTCGAAATGATAGTGGCTAATAGAAAAGGCTACTGAATTATTTATTCTCTGAGCTGGTTATTTTGAAGTAACTGAGAACTTGTTGCTTTCCCCATAACTTTTAACATTAGGGATAAAATGTTTTATGTCATTACAAGTCAGGGAACAGTAACTTGTTCTCTAGCATGCCTGCCATCATGGACCCTGTGGCTCCAGGCACGGTACCATGCTGCCTCTAGCCACTAATGTTAACAGCACAAGTCTTTCTCAGCTGTGAGGCTGGCACAAGGTGCCCACTTACCATCATATTCTGGGAAGTAGTCGACTAGGTGGGAATACATAATTTTCTCCTCTAGAAGATCTTTCTTGTTTAAGAACAGAATAACAGAGGAGTTCTGGAACCAAGGATATGTGATAATTGTTCTAAAGAGTGCTTTGCTCTCCTCCATTCGGTTCTGTGGAAAAAGAAAATCAGAAAAAGAAGGAGTGAATTACTGATGATACAACTGGTCAACTGGCTGATTTCTTAAGTCAACCCATCTTCTGTGTGCTTCTGATTTTTAAAGCCTGAGTTGAACTTGTATGGATTTATATGCAAATGATTCATGGCACACATTGACTGTTTTCATTATGCCAACTCTCATCATAGCAAGCAGAAGAGAATAATAATAAAAATATGCTGAAATAACTTCTTAGGTTTGAAAAGAAAGTAATCAGGATCTAGATGACAAGGCTGTATCTGACATATTGCAATAAATTCTACCAGAAATATTCATTCATAACCAAATACTTATGTAGCTAGAGTTTTCCTGCCTTGCCCACAGTCAGGACAAATCTTTGCCACCCGCCAGTCCCACAGCCGCTCAGACCCAACCAAGTAAACACAGAGACTTTTATTGCTTACAAACTGTATGGCTGTGGCAGGCTTCTTGCTAACTGTTCTTATAGCTTAAATTAATCCATTTCC